AATTTTATATATATATATATATATATATATATATATATACATTTTTATAAAATAGTTTTTTATTTAAAAAATATTTCAAATATAGAGCAGAAAACAATAGCCCCTTTCACACGTACAGTCTTTACTGGTAAATTACCAGTAAAAGATCATGTGTCAACAGGACCTTTTCAAAAATACGAGTGAACAGAGAATGAAGATTACCAGTATGAGCACGTACGCAAGTCACTCCTTAGTGTCGATACTTATTTTGACTTCCAACAAAGTACATTTAATTATGGTCTTCTCCAGGCCAGATGTATTTCACATTAGGTCTTTGCACTGATATTAATAAGACCATATTGACCTCTTGCATTGAATAGATGCCGACAGCAGCCCATCCCATGAGTCTTTGAGGTCCTCGATTTGTTGGCGTACCAGCGGTACTCCCTCAGCGGAGGTGTTCCTCTGGACCGACTCTCCTCTCGTCACCAGCATTTTCAGCTGTATCTCCTTCTCTTGACGTGCCGTCAGTAAAGCCTGGGGAGCATGGATGCATGAATGTCAGACCACTCATTACATGTTAACTACATGCTAAGGGCCTTGAAATTAAATACAAAGTCAAATACTTTAGCTGAAATGTTCAGAATGAAGTACTAGTGTACTACTGAAGACTAAAAGTAGTATGTGGGAAATAAATATGGTTATTTATGGTGACATATATGTGTTCCTCACCTCGAGTTTGATCATTCTGCTGTCCAGAACGTTCTTGTCTGCGGTGGGAGTGCAGTAGGTTTGCAACATGTGACTGGTATCAGCCACCCAGTTCTGCAGCTCTTTCAGGCCCTGCGAGAACAGCTGGTGCTCGGACACGATGCGGTCGATTCTAGAGGCTTTTTCCTATTGGACAAGCACAAGATAATCAGATGAATGATCACTTCTTTGAGATAAAGTGACTCGAGACAGTAACTGCGGATTCAGTACATAATCATAACATACAGTTTTGTAATTAATCATTCGGTAAGGGAAGCATCTTAATAGAAACAGTAACCGTGTTAAAAGGATAGTAGCTGAGAGCTTTTCGAGTCATCTTGTACTGTATATTTATCAAATCTGGATGACTAATCCATATGATTTTTTTGCTTATTAGTAAATAGGCAGTAAAAATGCCAACTTACATTGCCCTAAATACGTAATTTCTGTCAAAAATGCGTACTTGGGGAAAAAATGAGAAGTAAACTTAAATACAATGTGAATGTAACATCAAAAACAATACTTTTTGAGATTTATCTACTGTGCATAAGTTTAATTACTCCATATAAAGTTTCCAGGTGAAAAGTGTCCTCCACCCTGAATAGAAACATGTGGACTGTGTCTGAAACCAAAGAGAACTACATGGTTCCTTGACCAGTTAGTCAATGACTTAACAAAGAGCATTCATAAGAAAGTACATCTTATAGAAAATTGTTGGAGATATAACAATATCATGTCTAATGATTTACCAAGCAGACACTTAATGACCACGATGCTTCTTTCTTTGTTGAAATTATATCAGAAATGGACCAAAATCAATAAAAAATAAACAAATAAAAACGAAAATAAATAAAAATGTAAAAAATGTAAATAAATGAAAAATAAAACTATTTAAATAAAATATTTAAAATAAATAAATACTCATTTAAAATAATTTATAATTGAATTTACTTCTCCATCAGACACCTTTTGGTGACAAAACACTACAAAAAATAATCTATTTATATATAAAAAATAATAATTAAATAAAAAATAAACTGAAATAAAATATTCACAAATATAAAAATTTAAATTAAATCAACAAATAAATATTTACATATAATAAATATTTGTATATTTTGATGACATTCAACTTTCATTTGCTGCCTAATAAGAGCATTTGCCAAGTTTCTGACACAGCCCTATGTGCACATACTGTATAGTTTGTTGACCTCTGCAGCACTAGGAACAAGGTAGCTAGCGGGCAGACAGGCGGGACGTTACCTTGGTCAGGTTGCTTAAAGCTAGGTACTGAGCTGAGAGCTGCGAGACACGGTGCACAAAGCCCTTTCCGGCCGTGTGTCCGTCCCACAGCTGCTGGGCCTTCTCCCTCAACCTGTGCAGCTGAGACTCCTTAGAGGCTAATTCCTCTAGCAGAGACTGTGAAAGCACAGGCACATTAGCACAGAGCAGCATCGCACACAGTCCTGTGTTAGCAGATGATTAATAAAGCAACATGGCAGCGCATGAACAGGACAGATGTTAAGACTGGGGACAAGCGATGTGATTATGAGTATGACAGAAATGCAAGATTAAAGCATGACATGAATGCAGCCGTCTCATTCATTCGATCACATGTACTGATCATTTTCTACATACATTTTGACATTAAAGTCAACATGAAACACAATTTGACCCTACTTACTTTTATAATACACATCCCTGGTTTTACTGTGCACAAATCAGTATCAGAATTGATTTAAAACAATACGGACAATACTGACAACAAAAAAACTGTAATGTCCAACACATACAGCAGCAATGCCATAAAGCCATAAAGAATGATGCTTGTGAATGGCTGTTATGCTAATGGCTGTGAATAGAGGTGGTTTTGATTACGCTGTACTGCACCTGTAACCTGTGCAGCTCCTGTTTCTTGGCTGTGAGATCATGCAGCCGACTGCTGCTCTCCTGAACGGCCTCCTCGGTTTCATTCAGCCAGTCCTGGAGCGGCTCCACGCTCGTTTCAAAGTCCCGCATCTGAGCCTGAAGATTCTGGAAGAAAATAATCAATGACGGTACATTTAAAGAGAGAATGACTAATTAGCTAGATCAGATGTGTTTTGGCCTACTGAGGTCTATGATATAAATTATTTACTCAAGTACAGCTTGAGATTGCAAGTAATGTTCTAACCTTTCAAGAAATATTGAATAACATGAATATTAAATGTAACTAGATTTTTAGGATGTTGCAGGAAGCTGTTATTGTATTACAGGCCCAGATCAAAAGAGTCTCAGATTCACCAGATGTTAACAGATAAACAGATGTGTGTGAATTTATGATCAAATGATCATCAGACACCTGTAAAGCGGTTTCTCTCTGATGCAGATTGGTCATGAGTGATTTCCAGTCTTCTCTGGCTGTGTTGCTTTTAGCTCTGATGGACTCTACTCTGTCTTTGGGAGTGATGCTCATCAGTAGCTCTCCGCTGGCTGCCACTGTGTTCAGTTTGCCGTGGCCTTGCTCACGGTCACTCAGAAACTCCTGCAATAATAAGAACCTACCCTCAGAATCGTAACTGAATTGAGTGGAAAATAATAGTAAATCAATAAGATGTTACCTGGATCTTCTGCAGGCTGGACGATGCTTCAGCCAGGTTCTGAGGCACATCGAAACATTTGGCCGTACTGATTTTCGCATTGACCAGCCACTGCTGGAAGTCTCGAAAAGCGGCACGGAAGCGCTGCTCCAGGAGCTTCTCCTTTCCCTGACACTCCCGAGATGCCTGGAGACTGAGGCTAGAGGGGTGAGGGAGAGAAGAGAGATGTTGTGAACTATGGATGCAAATGAAGGCATCTGAACAATGATATCATGGGAACTGAGCCTGGTTTCTCCCAAGGTTTTTTTGTCCATTTCTGTCACCGATGGAGTTTAGGTTCTTTGTCGCCTTTGGCTTGCTCCGTTGGGGATGCTTAATTTCTGGCAATATTGTTGGCTTGATTGCACAGAAGAGAGCTGAACTGGATGATGACATCACTGAATCATCAATGAACTGACTTTGAAAAATTGACTGTTTGTTATTGTCCTCTTGCATTATTGACAAATTATTTTCCTGTTTGACACTGTAAAGCTGATTTGACACAATCTGTGCTATATAAATAAAGGTGTCTTGACTTGACTTGACTAGGTGATTCTCGGCCAGTCTGTCTCAGTTTTATTTTAGTATTTTTTTTATTTTTTATTATTATTTATATACAATTATTGTATTAATTATTTATATTAAATTAGCTTTTATTTTTATTTTCAGATAAATGTGCTTTTGTCATTTTTATTACTTTTTTTAGCTTTCATTTCTTTTTATTTCAGTTTTAGTTTCAGTAATTTTAGTATTTCAACTAAAACTTTTTCTTAAAAATAAAAATTATTGCTAAAAAGTTTATTTCCATTAAGGTAACATTTCTTTTTTTATTATTATTTAAAGTTTTTGATCTAATGTTTACATTACATTTTATTTCAGCTTTATTTTAATTAGTGAAAATTATTTGTAATACTTTTAGTTAACAATAACACTAGTCTCTCTGTGTACTCAGATGTTCTGCTAAAACTAAAACTTACAGTAAAACCTGGAAGAGTCGGTCTTGAGCTCTCCTACCTGTTGTATTCTTTAATGAGGGCAGACACTCTCTCAGATTGAGCGCCCAGATCTCTGGAGAACCGGCACAAGTCATTCAGCAGACACTTCAAATTGTCAGATATGGGCTCAATGTTTAGCAGTGCTTCCAGGGCGTCCTGAGTCATAAAATCATTAAGTACAATAACTTTAAAAGGACAGAAATCTTTTATTATTATTATTTATTATTTTGCTCTGTAGGCTTTACCTTCGCTATCTGCCATCCCTGCACAGCCTCTTCACCGGAGCTCATTTCTTCCACCTGCTGCAGTTTGATGCGCCACTCCTGCAGCTTGCCGCTGAACTCCTGCAGGTCCTGCTCTAGCTGCGCAGCTAGGCTGTTGAACTCCTGCTCTGAGCTGGCCATCTGAGCCAGAACGCCCTCCAGACCGGAGCACATGTGTTTAGCTCCGCGCTCCCACTGTTCCCAGGCCGAGAGCAGCCCGGCCTCCTCCCTCTCCAGGACCTCACAGCCCACCGTGGATGTGTGGTCGCGTGTGGCGGCACCACAGCTCTGCACACGGGTCAGACGCTCATGCCCTTGTTTCCTGGAGTCTAACAGCCCCTAAAATGGAATGACAAAGATTTAAAGTCAAAATTTACTCGGTTTACTTCCTAAATGAATGTTTCTGGTCTTATTGTGTGCACAAAAAGATATCAGAACACAGTATAGCTTAACACAGATAAACGTACCCTGACTTTAGAGAGTTTCCTCTGAACAGAAGCGGCGTCTCCAGACATGTCTGACCAGCGCTGAAGCTCTTCTTTAGCTGATGTGAGCCAGTCATTCAGCTCACGCACTGACTCCATGTACTGCTCATGCTTCTTGACAATCTCCTTAGTCTGCTGTACCTTATTCTGCAGAATAGAAGATTACACAAAACATCAGAAATGTTGAAACTCAGAAAATTTACTCTATTTAATAATAAAAAAATGTATTAAAAAAATTCTGTTAATGATTCATCAATGCACATTATTATTATTATAAAGATTTTTTTAATAATATTTCATTAAAACTTAATTATTAACTTTTTTATTAACTAATGTAACCAAGAAATCAATTCATTTCTTAAAAAATTACTTTTCTCAATCCAATAAAATCATCCTATATTATTTTCCATAAAATTTTATTCTTTTCAGAAGTATGTCACATTATGGATATTAAATTTGTTTTAAGTTGTTTTTAACATATTCATCAGACACTATTATCTAGAGTGATTTACAGGAAGTGCTTTGGATTGGATTGTGTATTCAAGCTGTGAGCTTGCTAAACTGGGTGATAAAATAAAATAAAATAAAATAAAATAAAATAAAATAAAATAAAAATAAATAAAATAAAATAAAATAAAATAAAATAAAATAAAATAAAATAAAATAAAATAAAATAAAATAAAATAAAATAAAATAAAATAAAATAAAATAAAATAAAATAAAATAAAATAAAATAAAATAAAATAAAATAAAATAAAATAAAATAAAATAAAATAAAATAAAAATAAAGGCCTTGGTGTTAAATTTATATCAATAATATAATAATATAATAATGATTATCAACAAAACGTTCAGGATTAATAAAATATGTAAGAATAGTAATTTCAAAATAAAATACTTATGGACGTCAAATCTGTTTCATGTTGTTTTGAAGCTGTTCAGCAGACACTATTACCCAGAGTGACTTACAGGAAGTGGTTTGGCTTCTATATTTAAAATAAAATGACATATTTTTACCTTAATGACAGCTGTGATGTTGGTAAACTGGGTGTTGAACTCAGATTTCGGTCCCTCTGCGAATGCTTGGTCTCCTGTCTTCTCATACAACTCTGTGGCTTTCTCATTCAGGCGGGTCAGCGCTGACGAATGGACCTCCACATCGGCCTGAATGGCCCGTAGGCGCTCCAGCAGCGAGGCCTTCTCTTTCAGCCCGGGCTGCTGCGGCAGAGCCACTCCTGCCTCCTGCTCCACCATCTCCATCCACTGCTGCAGCTGAGCTTTACTCTCCAGGAAACTGCCCCACTGAGCCACGGTCCACTCCAGACGACTGCATCACACACACAAATGATTATTGTAGCATTCTGCCAGGTTACCATGAGGCTTGTCAAGAGGAGTCAGGAACTCACCTGTGGCAGCTCATGGCGGTCATGAGGATATTGGCCCAGGAATCCTTCAGACTCTTGAGCTGAGAGCGGATAACTTCCTGTTTATCCCTACTGCAGTTCTTCAGCACCTGTTCTCCCTTCCCTACGGTCATGTTGAGCTTCACCTCCCCTTCACCCTTCATCAACAAAATGTCCTGAAACAATAGCATCAAAATATCAATGCTCATACATAATTTTATAATAAAGTTGCACGAAAAATCATAAGAAATGTGTGCATTATTAATTAACAAGACTAGTAATCTCAAAATTTAAAAATGGCCTGGCTATGACAGTATATCAATAACATATTATCATTAATAAATAATATAATAATGATTACAGACAAAGAGTTCAGGTTTAATAACATATATGTATATATGGCATATGTCATAACTGACAAGACTGGTAATCTCAAAATCAAATCAAATCAAATAAAAGTTTTATCAATAATATAATAACATATAATATCTTACATCTATGTTATAATAATGATAATCGACAAAAAGTTTGAGTACAGGTTTAATAAAATAAAATAAAAAATAAAAAAAAATATATATATATAAGATATATTCATATCAATAATATAATAATATATAATATCTTAAATATATGACAATAGCAATGATCGACAAAAAGTTTGAGGTCAAGTGTAATAAAATTTATGCCATATTAATTGACAAAACTGGTAATCTCAAAATAAAATAAAATTTAAACATTGTAAAAAATAAATAAAATAAATTACAATTAGGCTTGGTATTATATTATATTATATTATATTATATTATAATGATTGACAAAGAGTTTGAGCTTGCATAAAAGTGTGAGAAGTAATAATATTTGAAGTATGAGGAATTTTAAAAAAATTGCCTATCAAAGTACTATTACAATAAAAAATCCCATAATAATAATTTTAAAAAAATCTCGGAATATTCATCTGGGTGGCATGACTGTATTTTCTAACCTGAACCAGCCCCAGTCTCTTCTCCAGGGTCTCTCTATTCCCGCTGGTGCTGTTGAGTGAATTGAGGCGCTCCTGTACGCCGCTGAGCCATCCCCAGGTGCTCTGCAGCGTCTCCTCAAAGTTCTGCTGCTCCTGCAGGCTGAGCTGACATATGCGCAGTCTCTCCCTCGCCGCCTTGAGAAGCGCCTGATGCTGCAACTGCAGCTGCGCAGACGCCCTGAGCTCCGCCCCGCTTCCGTGACCTCCCTCACTCAGGGACTGAGCTTCCTGACACAGACTCTCAAACGAGTCCCTGCAGGATAGAAGATTGGATTTTTACATTTTTTTATTTTATGCATGTATTTTAATTTACTACGATTTCTTGCATATTATATGAAAACCTTATACAAAATACTGTGAGAGAATGCTATAAAATTGTCAATAGTAAATCTGTAAATATGTATGAATCTCACAAAAACATGTCCAGGTCACATTTCCCAAAAAATAATGTTTATGTGTTTATGTGTATGTATTATTAGTAATATTAATAGCAATATTATCAATATATAATATAATAACGATTGACAAAGCATTTAAGTTTGTGCTTATTTAATTGCAGAAAAGTGTGAGAAGTAATATTTGTAGTATGAGGAATTTGAAGAACATGCTGCCTTGCAAGCACTATTGCAATTAAAAAGCCCATAGTAAAAAATGAAATACACATATTTTGCATAAGGAATATTAAAAATAGTATGTAAAATACATGCATTAATAATGAAACATTGTTTATAAATTATTTATAAATAGAATTTCCAAAATTACTAAATGTATTAGTAAATAAAATATTTTATTATGTATTTTATGATTTATTTAATAATAAAATACATATATTTTGCATAAGGATTTTCTTATTTAAATATAAGTTAAATTTAAATAATACATACATATATACATACATACATGTTAATAATAACAAATTATTTATTAATTATAAAACATTTATAAAACAAATATAATTTCTGAAATATAATTTTTTAAAATAAATTAAATATTTTTTTATTTTGTGGGGGAGGAGATTATTTAGGTTATTTAATAATAAAATACATATTTTGCATAAGGATTTTCTTATTTAAATATAAGTTACATTTAAATAATACATACATATATACATACATGTTAATAATAACAAATTATTTATTAATTATAAAACATTTATAAAACAAATATAATTTCTGAAATATAATTTTTTTAAATAAATTAAATATTTTTTTATTTTGTGGGGGAGGAGATTATTTAGGATTTTTATATTTTATTTATTTTAGAATATATTTTACACAAAGTTAAAAAATGTTATGTTTTGCTGGTGCATAAAACAGTGGGCTGTTTATTTACACACTGAGGGCACACAGAGAGGACAAAAGATTTATATTTATCAGTTTAACATTTTCTAACCTCTCTTTAAGCACTTCGTGTTGGAATTCTTCCACGCGCTCCAGCGTTACTCGCTCATGATCACCGTGTCTCCCCTCAGGCAGCTCTGTGCTCATCCTCACATCCATGCGCTCCAGCCAGCGGGTCAACCTCTGCAGACGGCTCTCAAAACTAGAAAGACACAGCACAGATTTCAATTCAGAGCATTTGGTGACATATAACCCCCTGCCAACTTGAGAGCCGAGTGTAGGTCCTCTCTTCCACAGCAAAGCCGTTTATCCCCAGGAGTTATTTCAAACATTCTGCCGCTCTAATATTTAACCCAGCAAGCAGCAGTGTGAAGCTGCTGTTAAGTTCTCACCCGCTGAGCAGACTGGCGCTCTCTTCCAGGTTCTGCTGCTTCTGTTTACACTGCTCCACGTAACTGTCCCAGTCCTGCTGGATGGAGGAGAGGTTCTGCTGGACTTGGCCAGCGCTGGCTTTGGGAAGGTGAAGAAGAAGCTTCTCACCCTCAGTGCACACCAGTGTTAGACGGCTGTCTCCATCATCCACCCGCTCCAGAGCTCCCTGTATTACAACGAGTTTAAGTCTCAAAAGTTACACGTGCATAACATGTCTGACATTGTTTGTACTATAGACAAAAACAGTTTTAACATTCACATTTTGACATTATTACTGGTATTCCTGTTACTTCCAATTAACTTTTTTTTCTAACCAGTCACAAACATCAAGTGTCATTTTAAGACATTTTAACGGATGCTTGGTATATCTTATCAGGATGAAGTACCTTCAATTTCTGCAGTTTGCGTTCCACCACGCTCATGTCACCAGAATGATCGGCACATTCTCTCACAATGTCTTTCTGTCCAGAGAGCCATGTATGAAACTCCTTCACGAGATCTGAGAAGAGAAGCGACAGAGCGGACAGTAAGTAAACCATTTTTCCACAATGTCTGTCCTTGGATCAATAGGAAAGATCATTTTAATCTGGAACACTGTGATTCCCACCATTGAAGTGCTGCTGGAGGCCATGCTGCATGGAGCCAAGCTTCTTAACACAGAGCTGATTGACCGTTTCATATTTCTTGATGAGGTCGGTCATAGAGGAACCTAGACCGGCAAGTTCCTCGGATGGGTATTTTCTGCAAAGCGTGTTCAGGCTTTCCCGGGCTGAGTCAATGCTCGTCTGCTGGCAGTGTTAGACGGCTGTCTCCATCATCCACCCGCTCCAGAGCTCCCTGTATTACAACGAGTTTAAGTCTCAAAAGTTACACGTGCATAACATGTCTGACATTGTTTGTACTATAGACAAAAACAATTTTAACATTCACATTTTGACATTATTACTGGTATTCCTGTTACTTCCAATTAACTTCCTTTTTTTTCTAACCAGTCACAAACATCAAGTGTCATTTTAAGACATTTTAACGGATGCTTGGTATATCTTATCAGGATGAAGTACCTTCAATTTCTGCAGTTTGCGTTCCACCACGCTCATGTCACCAGAATGATCGGCACATTCTCTCACAATGTCTTTCTGTCCAGAGAGCCATGTATGAAACTCCTTCACGAGATCTGAGAAGAGAAGCGACAGAGCGGACAGTAAGTAAACCATTTTTCCACAATGTCTGTCCTTGGATCAATAGGAAAGATCATTTTAATCTGGAACACTGTGATTCCCACCATTGAAGTGCTGCTGGAGGCCATGCTGCATGGAGCCAAGCTTCTTAACACAGAGCTGATTGACCGTTTCATATTTCTTGATGAGGTCGGTCAGAGAGGAACCTAGACCGGCAAGTTCCTCGGATGGGTATTTTCTGCAAAGCGTGTTCAGGCTTTCCCGGGCTGAGTCAATGCTCGTCTGCTGGTTCTGAAGCTCCTTTTGGATTTCCTACAAATTGTGTGCATAGAAAATGTTTAATTTTTTTCCCTTTAAAGTCCATTAATAATGTCAAGGTTTCTTGTATCAAAACAGTCATAATTGAGTGTTATCTGACCATATTTCACCCTCTCTCTAATCTCTAGAGCTTTTAAAACTTCTATATGTACGGTAAATGTCCTCTGTTATGATTGGCTAATTGCGATATGCCTCAATTCACTCGTTTCTTTACAATGAGGCATGAAGTCGTTTTCCAAAACCTTCACACTCTGTTCCTCTCTGGTGGAATGAGCTACCAACATTCACCCGAACTGCTGAGACCATTACAACTTTCAATTTTCAGTCTTCAGGATTCTAATCTAGCTACAGTATACAGTACCGTAAATATCGTTGGCTCTATGACCAACTGCTTATGCTCTTCTGTTGTAAGTCGCATTGGATAAAAGAGTCTGCTAAATACATAAATGCATGTAAATCTAAATATGTCTCCTTCAAAAATGGAAGAAATCACACTTTCTGTACCTTCACTCTGCAGATTTCTTCAGGAGCTGTTCCACATGGCGAATCCACCAAAGATCTCTCAACGTTCTTCAACCACTCGGACATCTGGCTGAGAAAATCTTCCAGCTGCTTCTTCTGAGAGCAGAAATCTTGGAGGTTGCCCTTGGCTTGATCACATAACTCTTCAATGTTACTAATTTTCCTTCTGAGGTCCGTCTCCATGACCTGGAAGATGGCGTAGAGCTGATGAAACCAATTATCAAAACCAATGAGCTGGAGAACAAATGGAGATCAGTTTTACCTGCAGTTTAGCAGGAGCATCTTGGCCACCGCAGAGTCGTTTCAGCTCTGAAACTTTCTCTTGTAAAGCATCAATCTTCTTTTCTTTCAGGCTAACATCCACCTAGACAGAAAAAGGAATAAAAATATTACACAACTGTTGCTCTGGTTTTATGAATGTGTTTAATAGCACAGCTCGGAACATGCCTTGACTTCAGAGAGTTTGTTTGCAGATTTCTGGCTATCGTTGAAGTTATTGAGTCCATCTGTAAGATCCATGACCGAGCTGTTGGACCAGCTTTCGATTTCTCCACTGATATCGTAGATTTCCACCCACAGAGCAGAGCTCCTCTTGAGACTTTCGAGATTGTCCTCAATTTTTTCGGACACCTGTGTGGATATGAAGAACAACGGCTCTTAGTTTCTGTTATATGAGGTTTTTTATTGAAGACTCAATAAAACTCACATCTAGCCATTGGTCCACTGTGGCATCTATTTCTGTCTTCACAATCTGGGTGTGGCAATCAGGGATCTTGTTTAATTCACTTAAAAGCTTCTTTCCTTTACTGGAGAATCGCTCTAGTACATCCTGGTTACTGGCCATCTCTGCTTTAACGGCTTCATGCTACAGAAAGGAAGATCATTAAAGTTTATCATAGATCATAGAAGTTAGTAACTCTATTAAACTGGTATTTCACAATCTGCCTACAGACTGTCAGGTTTTACCTTCAACAGGGATCTCCGTGTGTCCTCTTGGTCTTTCAGGACAGCTTTAATGTCGGATATAGCATCAGCACTCTCCAATATTGTGTTTATTGAAGCCTTCAGACTCTGGTAATCTTTCATGTGCTCTACCAAAGCGCTGCTCTGCTCTTGCCTGGACAAAAACATGCAGCAATGTCAGTTAGACACTGAAAACAGGGCTGAACCTTTGCATTATATAACTAAAATTTTGAAAGTAATATAAAACTTTGATATCCTTAGGCAGTGGTTCAGACCAAGTTGCCTACTACATTTGATCAAATCAGACTATTCTTGCAGCACAAAGTCACCATGTAGTAGGGCTGCACAATTAATCGAATTTCTAAGCATTTAGATTACAATTACGGATGCCACAATTACATAATCACTCAAAGTCTTAATTACAAGAAAAAGGTCCACTTACATTATTCTGCATGCTTAAGATGTTTTATTTCTTTCTACAGGTTATCTTAAGGGTTCATTTTAGTTTTAGTATAACATTACAATACCATGCATATTTTTACTTTTTTTATTTAAAGAAGAAACCAAACCAATGTATAGTTGACATTTGAGGCTTAATGCTATAGGAAAGCAATCACAGTTTTTCAGGAAGAGTGTTTTCAGCTTGTTTATTTTCATATAAAAATATGGCATGCAGTTGCTTGAAACAATGGTATAAAGCTATTCAAAACATCATTCAATGTAAATTGTGATAATTGTAATTAATAATCGCAATTACAATTTCAAGGGAATAATCAACCATTAGGATTTTTGTCATAATCACGCAGCCTTGTCATGTAGCCACTAAAGACTTACTTTTTTACGTATTACGATTTAAAATGATTGAATTATATGATTTAATAAATACATGAATCCAAAAAAGGATAATTCAAAATCACCATGAAGTCACTTAGATTTTAAAGTTTTATTTATTGTTTTATTTTATTTAATAAATACATGAATCCAAAAAAGGATAATTCAAAATCACCATGAAGTCACTTAGATTTTAAAGTTTTATTTATTGTTTTATTTTATTTAATAAATACATGAATCCAAAAAAGGATAATTCAAAATCACCATGAAGTCACTTAGATTTTAAAGTTTTTATTTATTGTTTTATTTTATTTATTTATAAATTATTTTGTATTAAAATGAATAATTAAATTATACATAAAAATAGAGCTAAAATGGCAAATTAATTTAAATATAAAAAATAAAATAGGATTAAAAGGGCAATTTATAAGTTGTATTTATTAATTTAATTAAATAAAATAAAATAAACAATTAACTAAAAATATGGCCAAAAATGGCAAATTGAACGTTTTTTGTTTTAAAAATTACATTAATTAGTATTAGTATTTTTTTTTATTAAATTTGGCTAAAAAGTACAATTTTGTGCTACCACCTAGGATGGAATCTAATGTCCAAGATTGAGGGGACCAAATGAAAAACAAAAACATATTGTTGAACCACTAATATGAATATATGCAAGAACGCTTTCTTATAATGCAAACTTACATAGACTTTGATCATCTCTCTACAAAGTGGCAATAAGATTTCATAAAAACAGTACAAGAGCCTGTTCCTGGCAGCCTACCTTTCAGCGATGAGTTTCTTGGTGTCTTCCCAGGTGGTCTGAATGAGGTTGATTTCCCTTAGTACTTCTCCACCCAGCTCAGCGTCTCTGTGGGCCAGCTGTTGACCTTTGTCCCTGAGCCACTGCTCCTCGTGCTGGTGGGACTGGAGCTCATCTTCCAGTTGATTAAAGAGCCGAAGCCTACGCACACCACAAATTCAATAAACACAGCCCAACTGATAATTACAAACAACCCTGTTGAACAGGGTAATCCATACCTCTGCTGTAGAGTAAGCACACTGGGCTCTTTCAGGCCCTGTTTATCTGCCTTCTCCTCGATATCCTCCACTGTTTTGAGCAGCTGCTCTTTCCGCTGTCTGAACGAGCTCCAAAGAGCACCGAGAGCCTCAGCTTCACTTTGTTTGGAGCCCAGAAGGTTCCTCACGGCATCCAGCTCCACGCTTAAGGAGTCGGCCAATGAGCGGCACGAGGATCGAGTCAACTTTCCATTCATCAGGTGGAGATGAGCCTTACAGAGGCTGCTATCCAGATTCACAGCGAGCGTTTCAAGGCGACTGATATCAGGAACAACAGCTTCGAGGTCTTTCTGCAGCTCGTCCACCCGGCTTTTATCCCAACTCCCAGCGCTCTCCACGGTCTGTCTGAGGCCTTGAAGGACGCCGGCCGCCACACTGTGGGTGTGTAGGAAGGCCTCTAGCTTCTCCAGACTCTCACCTCGTAGTTCAACCAGCTGATGGGCCTCCATGTACGGCTGTAAGGAGCTCTATGAAGTCACTTAGATTTTAAAGTTTTTATTTATTGTTTTATTTTATTTATTTATAAATTATTTTGTATTAAAATGAATAATTAAATTATACATAAAAATAGAGCTAAAATGGCAAATTAATTTAAATATAAAAAATAAAATAGGATTAAAAGGGCAATTTATAAGTTGTATTTATTAATTTAATTAAATAAAATAAAATAAACAATTAACTAAAAATATGGCCAAAAATGGCAAATTGAACGTTTTTTGTTTTAAAAATTACATTAATTAGTATTAGTATTTTTTTTTATTAAATTTGGCTAAAAAGTACAATTTTGTGCTACCACCTAGGATGGAATCTAATGTCCAAGATTGAGGGGACCAAATGAAAAACAAAAACATATTGTTGAACCACTAATATGAATATATGCAAGAACGCTTTCTTATAATGCAAACTTACATAGACTTTGATCATCTCTCTACAAAGTGGCAATAAGATTTCATAAAAACAGTACAAGAGCCTGTTCCTGGCAGCCTACCTTTCAGCGATGAGTTTCTTGGTGTCTTCCCAGGTGGTCTGAATGAGGTTGATTTCCCTTAGTACTTCTCCACCCAGCTCAGCGTCTCTGTGGGCCAGCTGTTGACCTTTGTCCCTGAGCCACTGCTCCTCGTGCTGGTGGGACTGGAGCTCATCTTCCAGTTGATTAAAGAGCCGAAGCCTACGCACACCACAAATTCAATAAACACAGCCCAACTGATAATTACAAACAACCCTGTTGAACAGGGTAATCCATACCTCTGCTGTAGAGTAAGCACACTGGGCTCTTTCAGGCCCTGTTTATCTGCCTTCTCCTCGATATCCTCCACTGTTTTGAGCAGCTGCTCTTTCCGCTGTCTGAACGAGCTCCAAAGAGCACCGAGAGCCTCAGCTTCACTTTGTTTGGAGCCCAGAAGGTTCCTCACGGCATCCAGCTCCACGCTTAAGGAGTCGGCCAATGAGCGGCACGAGGATCGAGTCAACTTTCCATTCATCAGGTGGAGATGAGCCTTACAGAGGCTGCTATCCAGATTCACAGCGAGCGTTTCAAGGCGACTGATATCAGGAACAACAGCTTCGAGGTCTTTCTGCAGCTCGTCCACCCGGCTTTTATCCCAACTCCCAGCGCTCTCCACGGTCTGTCTGAGGCCTTGAAGGACGCCGGCCGCCACACTGTGGGTGTGTAGGAAGGCCTCTAGCTTCTCCAGACTCTCACCTCGTAGTTCAACCAGCTGATGGGCCTCCATGTACGGCTGTAAGGAGCTCTCCCACCTTCCCTGAAGCTGCTGGACCTCAGCCGGCTCACAAACATCACACAAGGTCTTAGTCTGCTGTTGAAGGCTTTGCCTTAGGAGACTTTGCTTCAGCAGATCATCTCTCCTCTCCTGGTGGGAAAAAGTATAAAATGATACAGCATTGTAAAACTGCAAATTTCTCTTCCTGGCCATAAATAACACATACTCTGTTCTACTCATATTTTATATACTTAATATTTAATGCCATGTCAGCTTCTATGGCTATATTCATGGCAAGAGCCAGGTTTAGTATTCTAAATAAAACTAAGTAAGATGTTTTAAGATAAGTTTAATTTTTTTCTAAAAACCTGAAGTCTAAATTTGGATTTACTTGGTTAAAAATCTTTTTTAAAAGCAACAACTAAATAAAACAAGCTCCTCAAAGTGGTAGATGTAGTACAGTCTAGTAAAACTGTGAAATAATTGTTTTTAAAGCCAATGAACGTTTTTGTTATTTCATACAATCAATGATTTTCTTTGGCACAATAATTTAATGCCTTTGAATTTTCTCAGCAAATATTCACATATGCAATTCATTTTCCATATATCCATATAACTGGATTAAAAAATTGGATTGACATTCAAAATATTTACATAAAACTGTATTTACATGCACACACCACCTTTCAAAAGTTTGGGGTTAGTAAGTTTTTTGTGATTTGAAAGAAGTTATGCTCATCAAGGCTGCAATTATTTGATTAAAAGTAATAAAAGCAGTAATATTGTGAAATATTATTACAATTTAAAATTACTCTTTTCTATTTGAATATATTTTCAAAAGTCATTTATTCCTGTAATTTTCAGCAGCCATTATTCACGAATTATCATTTTCTCTCCAGAAATGTGACACAAACATACCAATTACAAACCACATACTGAATGGAGGCTCTCAAAATGCAACGTACCTTGATATCACTAGTGGAAGGTTGAAGATCAGTGATATCAACATGAGAAAACGAGTGTAAAGATGAGAGGAAAGACTCTCCCCATTTGAGGAACTTCTGCAGGGCTTGCTCAAACTGTTCCACCTGAGAAAGGTGCTCCTGAAGCACTTGGACTCTGTGATGAAGAAGTAAATATATGGTACTATGTTAGACATACTCAATTTTTTAAATGCAAAGTTCATCCCTCACTCCACCCCAGACCATTTATGAAATCTATACTACAAAAGTAGAAAACAAACATAAGCACATTAACATACTGACCCACCCTGATCAACAACAGCGTGATTTATGACAAGCTAATCATAACAGAGGCCATTTACTTCTAGGAGTATCAAAAGTACAATAGCAGGGTCAGGGAAAGGTTGGACAATAGTCATCCAAAACTAAATTATGATGCAATAATGAAACTATTTGCAATAAGATGAAACTATTTATGATGCAAGAAACCTAAAGATGGCCTCTTTAAACAATTGCTGCTTATTCTTAATATGACTGACCTTTGAGGTATAGCTGTGGTCTGACACTTCCATCTTTTCTCGAGCTGTTCATGGTCTTCTTTGAGTGTTTTCACACGTTCATCTGATGCAGTGGTGTAAAGAGTTGGCGTTTGGGCCACCAGCCTGTTGTAAACCGACTGCAGAGACTGAAGTTCACTCTTTAGGTGCTTTAAAAGAAGTGTAAGAAACGATACGAAATGATCAAACATCCCTGATCTTCATCAATATATGCCATTTTCAAAAGAAAAAAAGCTAATTAACTTTTCATCAAAATAGTTTTGAAACAGCTTTGCTTCTGAAATGAAGAGATAACATTAACCATTATTATAGGCCTACTTTTCACAATTCAGTTAAACCCCGATGGATAAAACCAAGCCTGTCATTCATTATTTCCAGCTAAATATTCTGTTTCACATAGAAATATGTCACATTATGCAAGTAAAATACATTATGAATGTTGTTTCACGCTTTATTTCATTTATTACTTTCAGTTCCAGCAGTTCTCCATCCAGCTTTAGTTTGTCGACCGGAAGGAACTGAGAGTCAGGGCTGGTTATGGATTCACATCTCTCCAGGCATGACTGCAGGGCAGACCAATCCTTTTCATACCTGAAATAAACAAATGAATCAAGAGATTTAACTAAATATCTCTTATAACAATTTGAGAGATAAATACATTAGATTCCAACAGAGACAACAAAACATACTTTTGCCAATGTGACATAAGGCTCTCCATTTGGCTCTGCTTTTCCTTGGCCTGTTTTAAACACTGCTCATAACTTTGCTGCAGGACCGCCACGGCTCTCTCTGCCTTCTCTCTCTCGCTGAGCCTGCGGGCGCCAGCAGACAGGGACAGCAGGGTGGCCTTCAGCTTTTCCAGGGACTGGAACATATCCTGCAAACCAAACAAATCCATTATTCAGTCTGAACTGGTGCACATAAATGAGAAATGTTCATGCAGGTATCATACCATGTGACTCTGTAGAGTTTTGTAGGTCTCGGATGAAGACACGCAGGAGGTGACAGGGTTGTCAAATTTCTTTTGTATATCTTCAACCTCTGATTGTAACTTTTAAAAGAATGTAACGCCATTAGACAACATAAGGCTTTAGTAAGACTGCAGTAAACCGCATGTTCACACGTACCTGTTGAAGGTTGGCACTGAACTTCGTCTGGTGGGAGGAGCTTTCCTCCAACTGTCCATTCAGGTGTTCCACACTCTCCTTAAGCTCCTCCCAGTATCTGCCAATCTGTGTCAGACGGGCTTTGATTCGTGCAGATTCGCCAGACGACACAAACTGGACCAGCGCTTGAGATTTCTCCTCCAGATTGCACAGGACCTGTAACCTCTCCTGCAGACCCTCTCTGATTGTCTAAGAGATAAAAACATTGCAATGTCAGCTGCACTTTATATAGAAAATAGAATTTTTATTAAAAGACTGAATCTGCTAAAAAATAAAAAACTAATAATAAGCTTTTCAGATTATAAACGGAGGGCAAGCTATTCAAAATAAATGCGTAACAAATTAAATTAAATATAAATTTAAAAATGAGTGATAATAAATGATAAGCAATGATCAAATGGTAAGTGATATCAAAAGAAAAGAAATATGTAATTGTAAATATAAAAGATATTAACAAAAAACCTAAAAGTACAAAATGAAATAAAAAATGTAATCAATTTATAATAATTTATACTAAGAAAATTACATATATATATATATATATATATATGTGATGTTAAATAAATAGAACATTTTCAATATAATTAATTATTAAGAAATATAAATAAAAACTATTAAAAACTCTCTTTATTTTATAAATATAAAATAAAGATTTTTTTTTTTATAAATACAGAAGCCAAGCAGTCATTTCAAGCATTTAAAAAAACATTGTTCTTTTATTTAATTATATCTTTATTATCGCACATTTACGGTACAGATTTGCTGGTCCAAAGGTGTGCTGGAGCTTTTCAAGGCATCCATTTCTCTTTCTCTCTCCGTTATCCATGTGGAAAAAGCTTCAAACTCACTCCCGAAAGAATCCCACTGATCTTTCATGCCCTCCAAAGTCTTCACACTGAAAAATTATACAGTAATAAAACAGCCTTATGGATTCCTAATGAACTCACAGATTATGCTTAATGCATTTGTCCTAATAATCTTAGTGTGAAATCTATAAAATAAAGTAGGTATTACTCTCGCTTGAGTCCAGTCTCAACTTTGTCCACTTGTTCACTCAGAGCACGTGCTTGATCCTGGAGGAGAGACTGATTTTTGGGGCCTAGTTGGATCTCTGCGGCCCTCTTGAGAAGAGTGTTCACCTGTCTGGCCTCTGTTTCACACTGTTTCAGGAGTTCCTACAGGAAAAAACAGCAGCAGAAGAAGTGAAAATGTCTGTGGCACAGTTTTGTTTTTGTGAGGCAGAATAAACCAAATAATTACAAGCCATTTCAAAACATTAGCCTGTAGGCTGCTTACAGTCGAGTGCACATTGGCTATTTACAATGGCTTGTAGTGAGGCTCATTCAGTCAGATTGTATTGCCAGAGCAGATTTTTGAATGAGGATTTGGTGGCAAAAGCTCTTGCAGCTCTTCTGGTTTTAAAATAAAGACGCTCATGTTTAATTAAAGGTGATTCATTACACGGAGCCCTTGGAGATCAAGTGTTATTCTCACCTTGGCCTGCTCCAGCTCTGTGCTGAGACTGTCTGGACTGCTGAAGTTCATCTCTCTCTCTGTGACCGATCGCACTTTACCCACAAACTCCCTCACTGCTGCCTGCTGACTGTCAAACTCCTGCCAAGCAGCTAAAGTCACCTGACAACAGAGATGGACATTCATACTATTGTTTCAAAGAAAATATTTTATCTGCTCAATCCCAAAAATTGTTAAAAAAAATAAATATGAAACTGCATTCAAATATTTCCAAATGAAGCCAAATAGTCATATAAAGTAAAAAAAAAAATTGTTTTATTTATATTAGGATTTATCATAATAATAATAATAATCATCATCATATTTTAATAATATTAATATATTATTAAATCAATATTTTTCTAAATATTTAACATACATTTTAATATACAAACTTATGTTGTTATTATTATTATTATTATTATTTTATCACATTAGTAATTTATTATATAAATATTTTATTTAATATATACATTTAATATTAAACAAATATTTTATTTAATTTGACTTAAACATCCTCACCTCCAGGTTCTGTAACATATACAAAACTATTATATTTTTATATTTATTTTATTTCATTGGATTTGATTTAACCATCCTCACCTCCAGGTTCTTTTCCTGTGACTCTGTGCTTTGATCCATTTTGCTCAAGGTGGTGTCTAGTTTCTGCAGGTCTTCCTGTAAGTTCTCCTCCAGACCCTCCTCTATCTGCAGCTGCTTTCCACGGTTTATCTGCTCTTGCATTTCCTTCTGCTTGAGCCGGAGACGCTTCAGTTGTTGCTGCACATTAAGAAAGCACATGAACGTTGGATATAAATATGATTTTCAGCTTCATATATCAGGGTTGCGATTCATTCAGTGAGGGTGGCACCTGATGAAGCAGCAGCAGTTGTTGGGCTTCTCTGACGGACTCAGAGTTCAGAATCTTGCTGGTCACTGACTGCAGCTCCTGCTGACCCTGTGTCAACTCCTCCAGTGTAGTTTTCACCTCCTCTCTGAACTGCACACAGTCGCTCACCGCCAGCACGACCTTCTCTGACTATCACAACACATAAAATCTTCTTTTTTTAATATTTAAACCATCACAACATGAAAAACAGGACTTTCATTACTTTTTTAAACAGAAGTCTTAAAGGCACAGTAGCAAAGACAACATGTTTATTTTAAGAGGGTGGGAAATGGTCCTGAAAAGTAAGTTAGAAACCATTATGAGTGGATTAAAATTTTTCCTTTCTCTTTGAAGTGTTACAAGCTCTTGGTGCATAAAGAAGATCTGTAAAGTTGCAAAGACTAAAGTCTCAAATCCAAAGAGATATTCTTTATAAAAGTTGAGTCAACCACGCCTACCTAAAACGGCTCGTTCTAACACGCCCCCACATGTCTATGTCACAATGTGGGAAGATTTGCATAACACCGCCCAAATGTTCACACAAAGAAAGAAGGCATAACTTTTATTCACGCTGTAGTATTGTTGCCGCCGCTGTCATGTCGTGAAGTCACTGTGTGCTTCGTTGTGAAAGCGAAACTACTTTGTTTGGCCTTCCAAAAGAGGACGATATCATATTATATTATATTATATTATATTATAAATGACTAAATGTAAATGTAATTATATTATAATGGAAAATTTATTTAATTTGTCTTACCTCCAGGTTCAATAAAATATAAAGATATCTGCTAGCAGCTGCAGCTGATCTGCATTGATATTTTTCTATATGGCAGATGATTTATTTGGATTTATTCTTAAAATGAGTATGTCTTACCTCAGAAAGGGAGGTGAGGAGACCCTTAAAGTCACTGGAGAGTTTGCTGAGAGCAGCCCCCTGTCTCTGAGTGTCACTCTCCGTGCAAACCTCTATCAGAGCGGCCAAACGCGTCTTCAGCCAGCTCACGTTCCCCTCCTGCAGTTCAGCATCGTTTCTCAGACTCTGCAAATCATGAAGGGATGATCAATCAAGATTTCACACAGCTGTCACATTCATTTTCAGTCCACTTCATCTTTGTTTCGCACCTCAATGGTGGATTTGACCTGTCCAAACTTGCTGGGGTCTCCAGCTCTGTTTCGCAGAAGTCTGAGTTGACTTTCCTTCGATGTAACCCAGGCAGAGAGTTCAGAGAACCTGCAAACACACACAAAAATAATCATATTGTTAATATTGTATAAATTAAAATCAACTTATATCAGCAGTGATTTTACAAACAATTGACTGTGCAATAGTCAAGTCACATTTATTTATAAAACACTTTATACAATACAGACTGTTTCAAAACAGCTTCACTGTAATAAACAGGAAAATAACAGTATTAATGCTGCAAAATTAATCAATTATGAAACGAATACGATTTCAAGTGTAAAGCAGCTCAAAAATGACAATAGTGTCATTATTCAGCATTTTAGTCACATTTTGATTAAATTTAGTTCAACAACAGTGTGGATGTTGCAACGTTCGGACACAATTCAACTATAATGACAATAGTGTCATTATTTAGCTCAAGTCAGTTCAATGTTAATTCAGTTCAGTTCAATAACAGTGCAAAGTTTATAAAATTATACAACAAGCTTAACTGAGCTATAAGCAGCTCTGCAGATGACAATAAGTCAGTTCAGTGTTGATTCAGTTCAGTTCAATAACTGTAAAGTTCATCAATTATGAAACAAATTCGATTCAGCTATAGTAGACAACTGTCATTATTCAGCTCTTCGTTCAAGATTTGTTCTCATCCAATAGTGTCAGTGCAGTCAAATCAATATTATTACTGAATATTAAATGTCTTTTAAACAGCTTCAAAATGTGAAAATAACTTAATTTTGTTAAATTCATTCATTATGAAACTGTAAAGATAATAGTGTCATTATTAAGCTCAAGTTAGTTCAGCGTTTGTTTAATTCAGTTCAATAACAGTGTCAATGTTGCACAGTTTGTGTCATTCTCCAGCTCAATTCAGTTCAAATTCTGTTCTTATCCGATAGTGTCAGTGCAGCTGAATCGAAACCACTTAATATTCAATATTCAAAGGACTAAAGGTTCACCTGGTATTAAACTCCTTCCACTTGTCCGGGTGCTGCATTAGTTTCTGATGTGTGCTGTCAATATCCTCTCTGACCTCTGCAAACACCATCCTGGCATTCTCCAGTGTTTGCCGGGCTTGTTCGCTTTCTGGAAGCTTTGAGCGCAGTTCCTCCATATGATGTAAGCGCTTCTCACAAAGAGCCTGTGGACCCTTTTCCTTAAAAAACATCTACGTAAAGATATCCAACATAAGCGATCCCTATTTCCAAGGACAGAAAGAGTGCTTATAGAGGGTGTAATGCCGGTGGCTCTCACCCTGTGCTCTTTGATTAACCTCTCGCTGCCCATGCTGGGCAGACTGCGGTTCTCACGGGCCAGTTCAGCCTGACACTCCTGCACTGATGCCTTCAGACGACTCTTCTCCAGCTCCACCTTCAGATGCAGCAGGTGAGAGGGAATCTCTGTTTGGACATCCTGTAGAAAAGATGCATTTTCATGTGGTGGGTGCAATTCAAGTGGTTTTCGTCATACTTTTTAAGCTATAATTTACAGCCAAATCAAACCACTTTAAAAAGCTCTTAATGGTCCAAGCCACTTTCAATGTTTCATAATTCTGAAAGGGGGTTAGCATAATTTTTAACAAGATAAGCAGGTTTTCAACATTTAAAAAATGACCATTTGTGAACCCCTTCAAGTGTGAAAAGCCCATATTAACAACCCATTTATGTTCTATTGTATTGTATTGTATTCTATTCTATTTAGAACATGTCACAGTCTTCAGCGGGTGTGCCCAGGAGGGCCACCAGATGACTGTGTTCGGTGAGCACATGGCTTGTGTTGTGTTGTCTGTTGCCATGTGCTCTCTCCTGTCTATTGTCTTGCCCCTCCCATCTTGTTACCTCGTTATTGTTTTAGTTGCTCCACCTGTGTCTCCCTCGTTAGCCTCCTCGTTTGGTTTCCTATTTATTCTCCTGGTGTCTGTCATCCGGTGCTGATCCGTCATTTCTCATTGTGTGTGTTTCGTGTCTGCATGTGTGCAGCTTTAGGCCTGCCTGTCTGTTTTTCCCCTTCGGGGTGGTTTGAGTTTGTTTTTGTTTCATTTTTATTATAAAGAAAGAACCA